GTATATACTATATCTATTATTGTTTGTTTTTCATGATGGATGCTATCATTTATGTTACATCATAATGATACATGGGATGAAGTGGTCGCGTATGGGCCTCGCCACACCACTCGAGAAATGTGGAAAAGACAAAAATGTGGCGGGTGCATCTGGCCATGTTCTAGCGTGAAGTTCATTCTTATTTTGCACATTTCGAGAGTGGTGTGGCGGTGCCCTATGCACGTTGTTGTTGAACTGCCGCAATTAAAAAAGAAAGAAAAAAGGAGCTGTGGGAATCAGAAAGAAAGAAAAGAAAAGCTGTGGGAATCATTACCATACATGTGTCTATGCAATCCACACAACATGCCAGACAAAGGACCTCCCTCTAGTGTACAACACTGTATATGTATTGGGAGCTCCTGATCGTCTCGATACATTGAAAATGTTGAACTCGTCTGGATGCACCTGGTCCAGAAATGGGTCCAAATGCATGTACAATGTTTGTGGAGGGAGGCCGAAAGTCTAACAAAGTTTGTGGAAGTGCTCTGGAGATCTTGGAAGTGCTCTAGCTCATAATCACTGCGATATGTTCAAAATGTTGAACTCGTCTGAGTGCACCTGGTAGAGAAACGTGTCCAAATGCATGTAGAATGTGTAGTGGAGCGTGCTCTTGAGATCTTGGAAGTCTTCTTGAGATGTCTCAGTGACTGAAGAGCCTACTTCTGTCTGCCTGGCCAACATTTCCCTTAAACCACCAGACCTTTCCCCGCTTGCAAATCAATTCCTCGAAGGTTAACGCGGAAGGTCGGGGAAAGGACACCCCGGTCGCTACCAAAGGAGCGGGCAACAGAAATGTTTCCAAAAAATCCCCCCCAGAAAATAAAAACGAAGAACAAATCTACCGCCTGAACTAAAAAAACGAAAAAGAAACAAAAACAATGGAGTACGATCGGTGCACGGGGTAGGAACGGCACACCCAAGAACGAGAGAGAGAGAGAGAGAGCACCCTGGCGAGTTCGCTGGTCTTTCTCTCTCTCAAACTCGCCGGGAGTGTCTCTCTCTCTCTCTCGCGCGCGCGCACGTGCGCACTCGCCTGCCCAAAGTTAAAAACTTGCAAATGAGAGTGAATCTTCCGCCGGAACGTGATAAGACTCATTCGTTCTCTCTCTCTCTCTGTCTCTCTCCCCCCCTTCCCTGCCCGTGCGTGGGGTGAGGGACCCCCGTTTGTGGTTTTATATTTTCATTTATAATTTTACATTATAAAAAGAGCATGTATTTGTTTTTTTTGTTTTTTTTCTCTCTTTTGGTCTTCGTTTTGGCTATAAAGCCTGTCCTACTACCGTTACGTCCAGGGGTTCCCTGGGGGCGGGCATATTTTTTTTTTTTGTGATTCAGAGCTGGACCTAGTGCTACCGCACACAGCATGGGACAATTTTTTTATCTACTGGCCCTTCAGAGGCCCTGCCCCGAGCCTCCAAAATTTTTGGAGAGGCTAAATCGGATTCCCAGCTTGGCTGGGGCCATGTACTGGCATCGCCTCCAGTCAAATATTACCAGTGTGTGTAAAGTAGAATCTTTGTGTGTAAAGTAGAAGATTCAATTTCCAATCCGCTGAGTCGACGACCGGTGTGGGAGTGAACGAGTACAGAATATAACGTCCCTCCTGCTCATCTTGTTTTTGATCTGCCAATGGATCTCTCCCTCGTCTTGTTTTTGAGCTGCCAATGGATATCCCTCGGCAGAAAGGGGAGACAACTATGGCTTCTATTGCATAAGTTTGAAGTTTGGTGTCGCTGACTCGTTGGCATCAAGCAAGGCAGGACCGTGAAGTGCCTAATTTTATAGTTATATTCTGCCCTAATCACCGGGGTGATGGCCAAGCACCATGCTATTCCGGTCACTGCTATGGTCCCACGACGCTATAGTCCCAAACAGCAGTACAGGCGCTATGGTTCCAAACAGCAGTGCAGGCGATGGTGGGGAGTGTCGATAAACATAGCTGGCTCTCTGAGAGCAGGGGTCATTGGAACTTGCCCAAACAGCAGCTTCAGCGCCTTAAAACGCGGCTGGTCAAGCAGCCTGGTGGCCAATACTCCTCCCCCTCTTTAAAGCCCCAATTGGCAGATTGTTTCAGTAGGGCGGGCCTGTACGTCCTTTCATCAAGTATTGGGTTAGAGTAATCCGAGTAGGGGACCAGACCATTCCTCAATGCGCATGGGAGAAATCAAGGCTTGGAGGTACTAGTGATTTGAAGGGAAGGGATGGGCAAAAACGCGCATTAGAGAAACGGAGGTACTGCCAATTTAAGCAGAAGTTGAGTCTCTCTGGGTCATTGTCCCAATTTCCATTTGCTTTTGTTTTTTTTTGGACTGTTCTTGGTTTTATTCAAATGGAAATAGATAATAGAATCTCCGTGAAAGCCAAAACAGTTTTGCTATTCAGGTTTTGTCATGACTTTCTCAAAATCATGTCTGTGTACCAAGTGCTGCTTGAAGTGTTGACCCCCNCCCCCAACCCCCCCCAAAAAGAGAAAAACAAAAACATTACATGAGTAAACAAACATATGGTCTGTTTCCTAAAAGTTGAAAGTTAGATGTGTATCTACTACATCTACTCCAACTACTACATCTACTAGATCTACTAGATCTACTAGATCTACTACAACTACTACATCTACTAGATCTACTAGATCTATTAGATCTACTACATCTACTACATCTACTGCATCTACTACATTCTATTAGAATTCCTACGGCCAGGACCAGACTGTGCCTGTCTGTGAGATGGGCCGTCCGATAAGCAGCGCTTTTTCCGGCATCTATCAATGGTGTGCCAGAAGACATGACTGGGAAAGCGGCGGCCATTGTAAATCAGAGGCCACATGGGACCATTGGAACCACAAACAAAAAGAAAGGGAAAACCAAAGAGGGCAGTGTATCATTCGCTTTTGGAAGGGAAGATTCACTCTTGTTTTCTTGCTTTCTGGTGAGTGGCACAGTCGTTGGTGTCGTTTTTTGTCTTTTTCGTTTCCTTTTCTTTTGCCTGTCGGTATTGTGGTCGCGGCCTCACTGCACCACTCAGCGAGTGCTTATCTCATTGGATGTGGATTCGAACCTGGGTCTGCACGGGTGTGCCAACTGAGTTGCGCAAATGTTAAATGGAGTGGGTGCAAATATTAGACAGGGTGGATGCTGCTGAGAACGGAAAAATCCCGCCAGCGCTGTCGCAAGGGAACCGTAGTTCTTCCCAGTGGCAGCTCTGTCGGGATTTTCCGTTCGCGGCAGTGTCCCGACACCGCTGATCAGAGGCGGAAGGCGGGCAATTGGTGACAGCGGTTTGAACACGCTGAGCGTTCCATTCACACCAGGCCCAAGAAGGAAATAGGTGGGTTCCCGCGGCGTAGCGAAGTGCGCCCTCTCTCCCTCTCTCCCTCTCTCCCTCTCTTCCTCTCTCCCTCTCTCCCTCTCTCCCTCTCTCCCTCCCTCCCTCCCTCCCTCTCTCTCTTAGTGGTGTTGTGCACGAAGAGGTGAAGGGTTCCGTTCACACTTGGCCCCAAAAGCAAAAAGGTGCGTTCGGTCGGCGTAGGCGAAGTGCACCGCTCTCTCTCTGCCACTCCCTCCCTACATCCCTCCGCCTCTCCTCCCTCCATCCACATTTAGGGCTGCAACCCCATTTTGTGTGGGGGTGCCATGTTGCAAGTGGGACTGACTTTTTGCACGTCCGCTATCGGAAGGAGTAGGTGAGGATCATGCTGTGCATGCGGAGAGGCGGGGGGAGAAGGAAGGCTACTGCCTGGTCTGCAGGCAGGAGAAGGTCGCTATTGAAATGTTGAGGAGCTGGAGTAGCAGGTGAAGAGCGAACAGGGATGGTGATGATGCGGGATCAGGAGGACGAGAGAGCAGGGTTTTAGTCGGTCCAGACGGGATACGACGATGGAGAAAGCAGGAGGGTCATCGCGATAGGGTGAAGCATGGAGGGTAAGTTTGCCGTCGTTGTGGAGGTTGTGTGGGAGGAAGATGTCAAGGAGGGTCCTAAAGTAAATCGGAGGATGTAGGTCGGGGACCCAAAGGGTATGGGTAACTCAGATCAGGAAGGGGGCGATCAGGATGTGGGATCGAGAGGAGGAGGTGGGAATGTCAGCCAATCAGGGTGAGGATGTAGGAATCGATGAAGTGCACGGGAGAGAAGGCCAAGGCAACAGGGTAAGGAACACAGGTCGTGTAGGGGGAGGCGGACAAGGTGAGGAATAAGAGATTGCAAGGCAGAAAGAGGATCTCAAAGCGGAGGGGAGGGAACATGTAAGAAAGGAGGGAGCCGGATAATGACGAAGGGCCTCAATCACGAGAGGGATAGTGTAACTGTGGATATGCAGGTGATGTAGAGAGAGCGACGGGCAGAGGAAGAGAGAAAAGGATAGACCGGATCCACAGGGCCACATCTCCCAATGGAGGAGAGAAAGGCATGGAGAAAGAGGGAAAAGGAGAGGCGACAGATACAGGACAAGGAGAGAAGAGCATGGAAAAGTTGATTGGTGGGGAGAAGATCGGGGGAAGATCGGGAGGGGGATGGAGGGCGCAAGTTGAAAGATGGAATCGGCCTGGCAGAAGGGAGGCAGTGGAGAAGGAAGAAAGGGAAACAGGCGCGCGCGCGCGCGCGAGAGAGAGAGAGAGAGAGAGAGAGAGAGAGAGAGAGGACAAAAAGGGCAAGTGAGTGAGGACAAAAAGGGCAAGTGAGTGAGGAAGACGAAAAAGCGAGAGGGAAAAGGAGAGGAAGAGGGTGATGGTGACCGCTTATGAATCTGAATGGTTATCGGTTGCATATTGACCCTGGACCACGGGACACCTTCTAACCTTTTTGAACCCGGGACCACGGCCTTGGGACAGAGGCCACGTGGAAACCTACACTGTATTTTCAGACTATTCAACGCGACTTTTTGCAAAGCGGAGTTTCAACTTTCAAATGCATTTTGAACTTTTCTGGACATGACTGGTCGGCAGAGGTTATGTTCTAAATGTATTTCTATACTCAAACTCAAACCGAGCCTTATTTTATTTTCTTTGTTTTTTTTTAGATATGTCAGCATAATGGTTAACTTTTAAAAAACAAGAGTTTGTCCAGACCCCACCAAGGGGTCTTGTTGTACTAAGCACGGAATAAAATTAAACGAACCATGTCCTTAAGCTCGCTCTGACACACGAAATCTAAAAGTTTATTTTTTCCTTGACTGACACATCACACACAAAAAGGAACAAAATGAACCTCGCAGGATAACTACAAAACAAATGCAAGAGGGAAAAAAAAAGAAAATAACAAGAAGATCGTTTGACGCTTTCTTGCTATGTCATGCGAGTGAATCTCGCATGCTAACTACATGACAAATGCAATGGGAAAAAGAAACGAAAATAGTTAGAAGATCGTTTGGCTTTTTCTTCCTCACTTACGCGTTAGCCCTTTTCCTGCTCGTCTTTCGCAAAGCACCATCGAAAATTGGTGCAGGCCAGCAGTCTCAAAACTCGCACAAGTTCGTCCTCCAACACACGTCTGACACCTCACAACAACAATTTGAAGACTTCCTTTTGTGGCTGCAGTGGCTCGGTATGTAAATGATACAAAATGACCAATCTCACTCCGAGTCGTTTTACATGTAGTGCGGCAACACCCGAGGACGCTCGAAAATCCAAATGTTGTAGATTGTTTTTTTTCGCATTTCAAGATTCACTCTTATATTTGTTGAAAGTTTCTTTGTGCCCCAATTCTCAGGCGGCTGGTACGGTTGGGGAGAAGTTGTTGAAAATGAGTTTTCAAGAGTGTTGTGGCAAGACCCTTAGAAGTGATTTCGTGCTATGTTTTGGTATGTTTGTGCTGTGTTCGTGTCATGCTCATGCTATATTCGTGCTAAGAAAGCATGAGCACAACCAAACATGAACACAACCAGACTCAAGTCGCCGATAATTTAGGGGGTATGAGTTTGTGGGGGGAAAGGATTAAAAAAAAGGGAAATTGCAGATGTACCCCATACCCAGTCCTAGTGGCCAATACCCTACTTGTCCGGTGTACCAACGCATATGTGTACCAGTCACACAGGCCTTTGGTTGGGGAGTACAAATTTATGGTTATGTCCATGAACTAGACATACAAAATTGGGTGCCTGTGTATGAATGCAAATTGGCAGTATCGACCTTGACCCTCCTCGGTCCTGGGTATGCAAATACGTTGCACAAACGGTTTCCAGGGTATAGATACACGCATCCAGTTGATGTAGCTCAGTGGTTAGAGCACCAGTTGGAAATGCGCATTATGGCATGAGGTTGCGGGTTCAAAACTCAATTGCAGCCTTGCGCATGGATACCGACAGGGCGTTAGAATGGCGCACGGTTGGACACACATTCCCTTGGGATGACACACGGTAAGCTTATACAGACACTGCAAGCGCACCACCCAAGAGTTGTCCATGCTATTGTATGTCGGGTTTTGATACTCCGTGGGTTGCTTGTGGCTGTTGCTCGTGGTTGTTTTGTTGATCTCCCCTGTCTGTCATATCACGCACAGGGGCCGTTTGCGATTGTTGCTGAAATGGTAGAGTCTTCAAGTCACATATCATAGATCACGGGTTCGAGTCTGGTTGGGGACTTTGGGGAGGAGGTCTTGTCCAGCTTGGCCTGTCATCTCTTCAAACGAACACCTAGTTCCCTCTGCATAGTACTGCACATATCTGGCCTTCGGGCACATACATCTTGCTATTCAGTTACACAAAGCACACATAGACTGCACACATCTGGCCTTCGGGCACATACATCTCGCTATACAGGTACACAGAGCCTCCGAGCAAATACAAAATTACATGCCCCTATGGGCTCATACAGACATATATAGCCTTTGGGCATACACACATACACACAAATTACGATACTGGGCTGGGGGGGACTATCAGGTATATGACGATGTCTACTCACACATGGCTTAGCTCTACGGTAGGGGTAGGGATATAAGTCGCTCCGGCTAGTATGAGCTCCGCTTAGCCTTGGGTAAGCTAGGGGAAGGATGGTATAATGTGTCCGTGGGCGCTGGCCTGCCTTGCTTAGGTAATCCTGCTGGGTGGACTCTCCGAATTGGGCCTGTAGAAGATTGCATGAGCCAGGTGTCCGAAGTTCCCGTACGGCAAGGTTCGTCCGCTTCCGCTTCCATCAGGGTTGGGAGGTTGGCCCAACCTTGGTGCTTGTCACTGCTGTTTGGTCCAAGTTGCCCTCGATATTGGTAGGGTGATGGTCCTGAGTGCTGGCTGGTCACACTGAGGTAGGATAGTAGAGACAGGGGGTGAGCTGGGAGTATTAACATGGGGATGGGTAGGGTAGGTGGCCTATCCTGTCAGGACAACCATTGGCTGCCGCTACTAGCAATTACCGCGGGTCTGGTCCTTGGCCTCTACAACACCCTTAAAAAAAAAAAAAAAAAAAAAAAAAA